GATGATGATGATGATGATGATGATGATGATGATGATGATGATGATGATGTATGATGATGATGATGATGATGATGATGATGTATGATGATGATGATGATGATGATGATGATGATGATGATGATGATGATGATGATGATGATGATGATGATGAGGATGAGGATGAGGATGAGGATGAGGATGATGATCGTGTTTGCACATGTCATCTCAGGTGGAACTGAAGGCCGTCGTGGTCACGCATCTCGCCGCGACCGCGTCGGCTCAAGTCCTGTGCTGGAGGGCGAGGCCTCCGCCCGGATGCGCTTCACAGGCTCCAGGGTCGGCCTTCCGTTCGCAAGCAACGCGATTATGCTGCTCCTGGCTCGCTGGTGGCTGCAGCCCGCCGGGCCCGCGGCCCCAGGCGCGCCCGCGGCGGCTGCGCAGGCGGCCGCGCTTTTCCCGCCGTTCGAGGCGGGCCCGCTCTCGGCGCCAGGTGAGGCCGCCTTGATCCCGGCGCCGCTGGCTGACTGCCTGGCGGCCGCCCTGGACGCGAGGGAGGCAGCGCCCGCCTGCCCCTCGCCTTGCCCGCCCTGCCCCTCCAGCGAGGCGGGCAGCGGGCCTCGGCCGTCCCTGGCCTGGGAGGCGGCGTTGTGCGGCCTGCTGCTGCTGGCCTCCGAGCTCCTGCGCTGGGGGCTCTCGCCCGCATCCCTTGCCGAGGCCGCGCCAGGCGGCCAGCCATCGGGGGCGACCCCAACCTGAGCGCACAGCAGCCTGTGCGGGTGGAGTCGCCTGATCGGCGTGGGCAGCGCATTTGCGGGCTGGGCCGCTTCGCATGATCTCGGTGGGCGATGCGATTTGGGTGGAGTACGACGAGCCGGGGCCTCGCCTGGCGCACAAGCGCATGGTGGTTGCGCTCTCGTCTCGCGGGCTGGAGCACTACGCTGTCTTCGCGCCCGACTTTGACGTGTACGTCGAGGAGTGCGATGCAGGGAACGCGGACATCCGCAACTGGTGGAAGGAGTGGTGCCCCGCTGCCGCGCCTTGGGGCGCCGTCAGGGCTGCGGCGTTACGGCTTCGCCGCGGTGCCGACGGTCGCCCAGCTGGCGCAGTCCTGCGCCCTCGGAGCCGCGAAGACGGCCGAGCACGAACGTGACGCTGGTGCGGGCCCTGCTGCTGCTGCTCCTGCTCCTGGTGCTGCTGGAGGCGGTGGTAGCACGTTGTATGTATGACAACGAGTGCGCGCGGCTCTAAGAGGCGAGCCACGTTTTAAAACGAAACGCCCTCCATCCGTGAATTTGTTTCAAATTCCAGACGCTTCGCGTAACCCCACCAGATCCGTACGCGTAGCCCCCTTGGCTCAAGCCGCTCTGGCTCAAGCGGGCCTCAGCGGCTGGCCGGGCCTCCGCCCCTCGGTCCTCGGCATCCCCGCCCGCGGGGGCGTGCGAGGGGGTCGCCCCCCTCCGCGCCCCCGCTCGCTCGGCCATGGAGTCGCGCTCGGCGCGGCGGCGGCGGCAGCGGCGCGCCGCGGCCGGCTGCGCCGCCGCCGCGGCCCTGCGTGGCCTGTGTCGGCCTTGGCGTGGCCGGCGGCGTCGCCGCCGCGGCCGCCGCCGCCGCCGCGGCCGGCGCGCCGTTCGCGGCAGCCGGGGGCGGCGTGCGCCGCGGCCGCCGGCGCTGTGGCCCAAGAGTTGCTGCGCTGGGGCCGGCGCGGCGGCCGCGGCGCCGCGGCCCGCGGGGGCCGCGGCGGCCGCGGGTGCCGCCGCGCCCGCCGTTGCGGCCGCCGCGGCCGACGCTGCCGCCGCCGCCGCCGCCGCGGCCGCCTCCGGCGGGCCGCTGGCGGCGGCCGCTGATCGTGAAGCTGGCGCCCCACATCATCACCCACGTCATCCTGAACAGCTGGTGCGAGAAGGGCAGGCCTGGGCAGTGACAGCTGGCCGTGGCGCTGACGGGCGAGACCCTGGTCGTGAAGCTGGAGCCCAACATCATCACGTACGGCACTGTGAACAGCGCGTGCGAGATGAGCAGGCGTCGGCAGCGGCAGCAGGTTGCGGCGCTGCTGGGCGTGATTGTGGCAGCGAAGCTGGAGCCCAACATCGTCGCCTACCGCGCTGGGAAAAGCGCGTGCGTGAAGAGCAGGCGTCAGCAGTGGCAGCAGGAGGTGGCGCTGCTGGTCGAGGCCCCGGTCGTGAAGCTGAAGCCCACGTTCATCAACTCTGGCACGGTGAACAGCGCGTGCGAGAAGAGCAGGCGTCGGCAGTGGCAGCAAGCAGTACCGCTGCTGGGCGAGATTGTGGCCGCGAAGCTAAATCCCACCATCTTCGCCAACGGCGCTGTGAAGGGCGCGTGCGAGAAGATCAGGCGGCAGCAGTGGCAGCAGGTTGCGGCGCTGCTGGGCGAGATTGGCAGCGAAGCTGGAGCCCAACATCATCACCTACGGCACTGTGAAGAGCGCGTGCGTGAAGAGCAGGCGTCAGCAGTGGCAGCAGGATGTGTCGCTGCTGGGCGAGATTGTGGCCGTGAAGCTGGAGCCCAACATCATCGCGTGCGTCATTGTGAACAGCGCGTGCGAGAAGAGCAGTCGTCGGCAGTGGTTGCAGACTGCGGCGCTGCTGAGCGGGATGGCGGTCTTGCAGCTGAAGCCCAACATCATCACCTGCCACATCCGGGACAGCTGGTGCGAGAAGGGCGGGCGTTGGCAGTGACAGCTGGCAATGGCGTTGCTGAGCGAGATGGTGGTCGTGCAGCTGGGGCCCAACATCAACGCCTACAGCGCCCTGAACAGCGCGTGCGAGAAGAGCAGGCGTTGGCAGTGACAGCTGGCAATGGCGCTGCTGCGCGAGATGGTGGTCGTGCAGCTGGAGCCCGGCATCGTCCCCTGAGACCGCGGAGCAACCGTCCAGACGCTGGACAGCGGGGCCGTCCGCTGGCTCGTCGGGCGAAACCTCTTCGCGCCCATTCGCCCCCCCCTCCCCTGACAGTGAGGTTCTTATTGGCGGCGAACCCCAGGCGCCCTCTCCAGGAGTGCAGGGCGCCACTGGCAAAGCAGCCCGCGCCCCGGCTATGGAAGCTGCGCCGCCGAGCGCGCGCGCCTGGCACAGCCAGCGGCGCCCCAGAGACTGGGGGGAGTCCTGCGCTGTCCAAAGAGGGCGCACCTGGGAGCGACGGCGGGCGCAGGCCCGAAGGCGAACGCCAGCGAAAGGGGCCCTTCCCCAAGTGCCGCAAGGCTGCGTCTGCCCTGGCCGCCGGGCGCGATCCGACCCCCGCCTGGCGGCCAACCGTGCGCCCTGCATTTCCTCGCAAAACCCCGCCAGGCGTGCAGATCGCGAGCCCTCCAGCCAGGACCACGAGGCCGGTGCGTTGGAGACTTGCGGCCAGAACACACGGCGGCACCAAAGGCCCGACCCGCGCCAATGGCCAGAGCCCGAGCCCAAGGATCCCGGCACGGGACAACAGTTGTACAGAACAGGAATCAACATAATCCAGTAGGACCTCCCCCGAGAGACGCCCGGCGACGCGACGAGACGACTCCAAGTCACACTGGGGCCAATGTTCACTGGCACCTGGCACGCCCTCGCCAAGCGGCAGTCCGTGCCCGGCAGCGCGGGCGCGCTCGACCCGCTTCGGCGCGACCCGCAAACTTGCCACCTCTTCCTGGAAGCCTTCCGCAGCCACAAGTGCGACGTACGGGTCGTCAGCGACGCGCTGGGCCTAGACGGCAGCTGCACCTGGGTCGGAGCGGCGGAGTGAGCAGTGATTACCGCGCGGCAAGGGGCCACCCGAACAACCAGGCCCCCAAGCAGCGCAAAAAAACTGTGGTGGGCCGTCCCCCCGCAGTAGCCTTGCTGCCCCCCTCGTGGCATCGCTCGCACGGGGATCAGGTGCGTGGAGGGCGGTCGCTGGCAGCAGGGCCGTCGCTGCCCTGGAAAACGCGGCCTGCGGCAGGACTCTTGTCTGTGTGCGACGTGTTTCGACTCCTGTTTCGTGCGGAACTTCTACTCCTTCATCTTGGCTGTTGTCTACGTGCTGCGTGTGTGGCTATACCGTCGATTTCAGTATTTCTCCTTTGTCTGCGCGCTGCGGGTGTGGCTTTACCGTGGACAGTCTGGCTGTCTACTTTGAGATCCACCTTCTCTGTTGTCTACGAGTTGTGCACCGTGCTCATCAGCGCGATTGGAGGTCTCATTCTTTCTCTCTCTTGGTTATGACGAGCTGTTGTCGGGCGTGGCGTGCATCTCCTTGAGAGCGGGCTGCAGTGTGTGCGGACTGCGTGTCCCGCGGGTTCTCCCGTGGCCTGCGTCCTGGCGCCAGGCTCCCAGGGGGGCCGCCGCTCGTCCCGGGTCCGCCCTCCTGTGGCTCTGGCACTCTTGCATTCCGTTTCTGTCGGTCTGCGGTGGCGGTGGCACCACCCTCTCCAGCGTGGTTTACATGTGCCAGCGCACTGCCGGGTTGTCCCTGCAGCTTCCACCCCCCGCCGTGTATCTGTGTTCAGCGGCTTTCGGCTGCGCCCCCCCCCGCAGGAGGCCGTGGAGGTGGTCAAGAGGAACTGTGCTGAAGTGTGGGCTAAGCGGCTGCTGTGGGAACGGACTGAGTGTCCCGCGGGCTCTCCTGTGGCTTGCATCCTGGCGCCGGGCTCCCAGGGGGGCCGCTGCTGGTCCCGGGTCTGCCCTCTGTGGCTCCGGTACTCTTGCATCCCGTTTCTGTCGGTCCGCGGTGGCGGTGGCGCCACCCTCTCCAGCGTGGTCCACATGTGCCGGCGCACTGCCGGGATCCCCGTCTTGTCCCCTGTTCCGGTCTCGCTTCCCTCCTCCCCCGGCGCGGGGTCAGGCCGTGTGTGCGGGGCTCCTGCTGCAGGTTCCACCCAGCCTCCAGAGGCCGTGTGCGGGGCTCCCGTAGGGGACCTTGAGGCGTCCGTGGTCGAGGTATCTGGGTCGGTGACTGCGGCTGTCGGCTGCGCCCCCCATCTTCCTTCGTTCACAATGTCTCTGCGGCTTTCGGCTGCGCCCCCACCGATCAACTGTGGAGATCGCATCGGGCGCAGAAGGGGACAGGCCGTGAGCGCGACGCTCTAGCAGCAGGTTCCACCCAGCCCCCAGTGGCCGAGAACGGGGCTCCCGTGGGGAACCTTGTGGCGTCCGTGGACGAGGTATCTGGATCGGTGACTGCGGCTTTTGGCTGCGCCCCCCATCCCCCTTCATGCATAATGTCTCTGCGGCTTTCGGCTGCGCCCCCCACCGTCCAACTGTGAAGACTGCATCGGACGCAGATTCCTCCGTCTCCTCCTCCTCCTCCTCCTCCTCCTCCTCTTCCTCTTCCTTCATTCGCAATGTCTCTGCGGCTTTCGGCGGCGCCCCCCACGGCCCATGGTGAGTGCCCTCGCCGTATGTGCGACAGTATCGGTTGGTTCAGCCTGCGGTCAGTTGTTGCTCTTACCGGCGCAGCCACATGCCCAGCCCCCGACAGGACATCGCATCGTTGAGCCCACAGACCGCGTGAGTCGGATACGATGGGGATGCGCTGGCATCGGCGGGTTGAGAGCCTGCGAGCGCGCGCCAGTGGTGCTCCAGTGGGGCGAGGCCCTCCCCCCCCCACTGTGACACTGGCGTTCAGCTGCAGGCTGCGCCCCCCCCACCTGTTTATGCCTTGGTTATATGCTGACTTGGTCTTGGCGCTGCCCAAGGGCGCTTCGACAGCGGCCAGCTCGCCGCCTACTGTCGCTACGGCCTACAGTTGGATGCCGCCAGGGCTCAGCTCCGCGGGCTACGTAGCAGGTGAGTTCGGGGGCGTTCGATGGCCATACCTCCGGTGTCACCTGATGTCTGGCTTCGACAGGGTGTGGCCCTGCACGAGTGGATCAGCCTTCGGCAGTCTGTGGCCTGCCCCCAGCAGATCATTCTGCATCGGCCTCCGTCAGTACTTGCATCGTTTTGCCCCCGAACCACGAGATTCGGATGCGCTGTGCATGCGCTGGCCACAGGCTCGGCTCCACTTCGCGGGCGCAGAGCGGGGT